GATTAAAGTCGGAATCCTCAGATTGAATTCAGAATCCTCAGATTAAATTCGGAATCCTCAGATTAAAGTCGGAATCCTCAGATTGAATTCAGAATCCTCAGATTAAAGTCGGAATCTTCAGATTAAAGTCGGAATCTTCAGATTAAAGTCAGATTTAGACATCGGTATATGCATTCAATTCAACTTTATTGTCCATAACATTCAATGAAATGGAGATTTGTCTTTGACATCTGGCTCATAAAAAACACATGTTCAAAATGTCATAAAAACTTAAACAAAAACTTTGCTAACCCAATTAAAAACATTGATTTTTTCCCCTCAGAATTATGACTTCAATCCCAAAATTAAGGTAAAAAAGAATTGTTTGCACCGTGTCCCTAATCCTCTTCCATAATCAAGAAACGCCATAATGTAGAAAACTAAATTTCCTGTTTTGGGACCTTTTTGTGGGAGATAGCCTCTATAACGATGAAAATAAGTTATGTGGTGATTATTTTTTTTTATCACAAATTTTACTATGAATGTTATTAAATTCACCATCTTTTAGCAAAGTGCTGTCACCTCTGTTTAGTGCTCTTTAAATGAGGACGGTCTTGCTGATGTGGGGGCCTGCTTGCAGTGTATGAGGAGTAGACCAGGGAAACCATCCTTCATGCTGAAACATTTTCAGCTGTCATGAATCTTCTTTTCTTTTTCTTTTCCCAGACATCGTCATTTCAAACAGGAAATGTTTACCTACTGGTTACATCTCTGATAAAACGTTTTGCTCATGTGGAAATCTGGTCGGTTTTACAGTTTTTCGCACAGGTTTTGTCTAAATGAGGAGGTCAGATTGACCTCGTCTTCTTACGTACGTTTAGAAAAGTCTTCAGTGTTACAACAGCATAGATATATCAACTGCCAAGTGTCTTACTAATGGAGAGTTTGAACAAGTAAAAGTGTTTAAGTATAAAAAAAATGTGATGTACACACCCTCAAATGTGATGTGTGTAACATTAATTGTTATAAATTCATTTTTGTATGAATTTGTGCTTTAAGGTTAACCACAGTAAATAGAAATGTTAACTTTTCCTAACAAAATTAGCTTTTATACAAACTTTTGTCAATAAGCATTTTAAATATCCTTTAGTATAGATGGCACTTACAGTAAATCTATGAAATGTTTGTGTTTACTCCTCAACAAGATAATGCAAGTCAAATGTGTGTAAAAGCTAATAAAGAATAACGATACTATTTATTGCATTTGATTTCTATCATTAAAATGTGAAAACTATCTTGATCATCAGACTAACGAGAAAATAAAAATAATGTCATTTTACTGGTTTGGGTTTATAACCTGTAATAATATGGAAATATATTTAGTAGTTAAACTGGCACGAACATCTCAGGGAACTATTCTAGTTCCTAAGATTAAAAGTTTTCTTGTAGATGTCCTGGTTATTAAAATACAAATGTGTACTACTACAATCATTCTCTTTATTATGGTACAATGAAATGGGAAACTGGTTTCTGTGAAAATGCAGTGTAAATATTTAGAGCTCAGTGACTGCTGAAATGTGATGAAGATGAAAGATGTTGATGCTAAAATAAAAACTAGGTAAACGCTAAAATAAATACAAGTTAGCCTTAACAAAATGCTAGCTAAAAGCCGTAAAAGTTTGCTAAAGGCTAAACAAGTAAAAGGCTAGTTGAAAGTAATCAAAGGCTAACTTTGATTACTAGACTTTGAAATGTGGACTGGTGTTATGCCAAAAATCAGTTGGTTGCCAAATGACAACCGCGGGAGCGTGCACAGGAGGACTTGAACAAAAATTTAACAAGATTAGCACTTAAAAACAATTATTTGTTTGCTTGAAATTATAGCAAATGTATGTCTCGGTATAACTTTTCCTTAATAAATGCACTTTGACGGTCAAATCGGCTGCATTTCAAAACCCGATACATGGAAGTATTTATATGTCTTTGCATGCACGGTAGGACTCGCTGTGCATTTCTTCAAAATTGAACAAGATAAGCACCTAAAAACAATTATTTGTTTGCTCGACTTTATAGCAAAGGTGTGTCTCAGTTTAACTTTTACTTAATAAATGCACTTTAATGATCAAATCAGCTGCATTTCACTGGGGCAGTGCAGCAAAATGAAGCTGATTTGACGGTTGCTCCAGGTTGAGCTGGACGAAGGTGGCAGTCTATGGCAAGCCAACTATGTTATTAATAGCCACGTTTACCTATTACATGACACAACAGCATACCATACTGCTCAAGTGCCATCTAGTGGCTGAAAATGGTAGTGTTCACTATTTTAAGTTTAAAGTTTCAACTTTTAAGTTTAAGTTGCAGGGCATGTAAATTATGCAACAAAAAAAAAGTGACTTATAGGCCAAAAAATATGGTACTTAGAAAAAGTACTTAAAAGTAGCATAAGGCTAGGTAAAATGCTAATAGTAGCAAAAGGCTAGCTAAAAATAGCACGGTAGCTCATCTGTAGTAGCAAGAATGCAAAATATAAAGCCTTTTTTTTAAGAGGAAAAATGTTTTTGAATCATTTGAACGGATGCTAATGAAATTCTATGGGTAACATACTATAAAATTCAGTTTATTTATATAGTGCCAAATCACAACAAAGTTGTCTCAGGGCACTTTACAGAAACATTCACATACATAAAAACCAATTAGTAAAGTTCTCTATCTAAGGAATCCTGCAGACAAGTTGAATCTTGGCTTCGTTGCAGTCTCCCATCCTGAGCAAGCACAGTGGCAACAGTGGAAAGGAAAAACTCCCTTTTAAAAGGAAGAAACCTCCAGCAGAACCAGGCTCAGGACAAGCGGCCATCTGCTTTGACCGGCTGGTTTGAGAGGACAGGAAGGAGAGACAGACGAACACAGAATGGTAGGTCCAGGTATAGGTCCAGGTATAGGTCCAGGTGTACCTGAAAGACAAAAAAAAAAAAAAAAAACATGTTAAGGATAGAAAAAATAATTGCAAATACAAAACAGGTTGAGCAGAGTAAGTAAAGACAGTTTATAAATAAATAAAGACGGTATTAAATAATTATATAAAAATAATGTAAGCGGGGAATTGATCACTTTATTTGAATTCATTGTGTTTTTGGACAATTAACACACCAGAACATATTTCACTGGTGACAGGACAAAATTACTTTGAAGGGAATAGGTTTGGTGGCAAACATAACACCTTTTGGAAAGAAATAAAATAAAATTTGCCATCCCACTCTAGATGTTATTTTTCTTCACGTCCTGATTGTCCATCAGCTTTCAGCTAATAAAATAGAAACCTACTGATTATTAGTGAAGTGTGTTTGTTGCGTTTACATGAATCCTAGTCAAGTTTTATTTGCATTTGATGGTGAGTTTAATCATGAAGCTGAATGAAGATGAACATTTTCTGTAAATCAGAAATAACTGGAATCAAGAACTAGTAAAATTGTGCTTGTTACAATCTTCTGATCCCTAAACGTATCCTGCCAAGATCTGTTAGCTGGTTTCCTTTTATGTTGCTCTTTTTTACGATTTCTGCCTCAGCCTTTCCTATTTCTTTTATTTTTTTATTTTTTTCAAAGCTCTAAAATTCAAATAAATTCCTTGTTTCTCGACCAAGTCAGAACTGGGTGTTTATGTTCCCCAAGTTTCCATCGTTTTCTATCTGATTAGAGCAATCACTGAAGAAAGACTCCCCACATATGTGCTGGAGTGTAAACCCGTACTTTTTTGTGTTAAATAGGAAGCTTCCATTACAAATGCAACATGAGATGTGAGTTAAGATGAACTGCAATGACTTGTAGATGAACAGAGCAGCTGCAGCGTCCACGAGTCTCATCGCCTGCTGTTAACGTTACACAAAGTCACAAATAATTAAAAATTAATCCACCTGCAGGAATGATCACTCTGAGCTGGGACTGGTCTCAGTAGAAGGAAGATCTGTTTTACTTTACTGCACCAAGATACACGTGTCTGTCGTCATATCTGAAGATACATTTATGATTCTAAATTATGGTATTATTGGCAGAATGTCTTGTGAGCACGTCTGCCCTGATCTTAGCTGTAATAATACGTCCAGCATGGAAGATCAGCAGAACAGTGGGCTTGTTTCCTTGGAGGAGAGGAGGGGGATACTTTCATGTACTGAAACTGTAATCATGTCAGTCAGAGGCATACCAGCTCATATTAGCTCACGTACCCAGTGTGCACGCCTGACTTCACACATGACTCGTTTGTAAATTTACTCAATGCATTTGACAGCCAACACACTGCAGAACCCCCTGACAACAATCAGGCCTTGTCTTTAAGGCCTTTCTGATAATCCCTCAAGAGGTAAGTCTGGATTCAGCCCAAAGCTGGGAGGAGGTGGTGGGGTTGGGGTGAAGTGAACACAAGTTCCTCCATCCACGTTTTCCATCTCTTCTTTACTGCATGACTGAATTTTAATAATTTATTTTATTAACTGAAATCCCTTAGAATATGTGCTGAAGATGACTCTCAACTACTACCATCCCAATTTGTAGCCCAGTAACCATAAAACTGAGTGCTAAGCTCAGTTAGCTGTGGCAGCTAACTTATATTAAGTTGATTTCAATCTTTTTATTCCAACAAACTCTGATAGCTAAAGGTCAGTGTCATCCAATACTTGCCTCACTAATCAATACTTTATATCATGGGAGAAATGGATGGACATTACAAAATAAAAGAAAAGAAGAAACTGATCCCTTTTCTGTCCGTACTGACGAGCTAACAGCTACTTTGAGCAGGTCTAACACTAAAATAAACTGCTGCCATCTTAAAACAGCTTTAGTCTAAAAGATGTCATAGCTGTTTATCCAAATATTGTTTTATGAACCTTGACGTTGGCTTGAACTTTACAACACATTGTTGTTTACGTAAAATCTGTGGTTATTTGTAAAGGAAAAAAGCAGCAACTGCAGCTAGCATTAGCTGTTCTGGTGCAGCTCGGTGCACTTCCAGAAGG